ATCTGAGCAGACCTTGTAAATTCTTAAGTTTTATTCTCTTCCACTGCAGACGAATGGATTTCACATCAGTTTGAAACAGAAGCTTAAAAATGGCCTTACCATCTTACTTTGTGTGCCCTCTTTTAGAAAAAGTGCTGCAGAAAATAAAATCTAGTTGAAGGGCATATTTGTGTACATTATACAGAAGCTGTGGTTATTTACTTTAATTGGTTTTGTCTTTAACTTGGATGTGATGGGGTTTTTTTGTAGCATACGTGTCTGCCATTACAGTTGGTGGATTAAAGTGTAATTCAGTGTATTAATGAGGTCTATTCTTGTGATTGTTTTGTTTTCTTATCAAACAAAGAAAAACAGTCATGATTTTGCCTTTTGAGCTTTAGCCGTGTATTTGTTGAATACAAGCAGTAAACCAGATTATTTGCAAGTGTCTTGTAAGTTCCTGTAATGGATTCAGCCCAACGTGGAGTGATTCAGAGACTGTAAGGAAGCAATATTCTCTTGACCATTAAAGTGTGCATAAAGATGCGACAAAACTGGCCATCGTGATCTGTAAGGCTATTACACGCACAAGCCTGCTCTTCTGTGCGCGGGCTGAACTTATTCTGTGTTTGAACTGACGTCACTGGGGTCCGTGGAAAGTGCAAGGATGCTTCCCGCAGCCAGATCTCTCGCTGGAGTTTAAATGTAGTTTACAAACTGGACTTTGTGGAGATTGATACTACTTTAGAAAAAGGCTTTTACCTGTCATGTGCATGAGAACTTAACAGGCTTTTATTTGAGTTCTGACTGAAACAAAAGCACAGATACCACACTGTTCAAATTCTGTTAGTGGTGCAAGTAGCAGGAATCAGCCCATCTGTAAGCAGTGCCTGGGAAGGGAAAGCTGAAAAGCAGTTACTTGCTAAGGAGTAACTGTGAATGCCTTCTTTGGGGACCATAAGGAATTTTGGGCAGGGATACTTCAAACTGATGGTGCACGCTTGTCTAGCTGGCGGCCGCATATAACCTTTGAGCCAAATCCAAGAACAGGGTTTTGGTAGGAGTCCTCAGCTCTCCAGCCCAGGCCGTGTGGAGCGAGGGTTGTTATTGTTTCCCATGGACATTGTCCAGGAGAGTGGAGCCCTCATACGGATCTTAGCTATCCAGAAAATGTTGATGACCAGTGTGTAGAGCTGATCTTTGAATCTGAGGTGACTAAAAATTGCATATAGAAAATAAGGAAAGACAACCATGTACTTGGAGCTGGAAGATCAGTTCTAACATTTTTTTTTTTTTCCCCCCTAGATTGGAAAGCCTACTCCCCTGGATGGAGGGGAGTTTCAGTCTGAGGGGGAAAAAAAGCCAAAGTATATATATATTTTTAAATTTTTAATCTTTCACTGAAGTATCTGATCAAGGATGGGTTATTGAGTTAGAATTATCAAATTTGGTACTTCATGGGGAGAGACAAATTTTCATTTTAAAATCAACATTATAGCATCAGACATTCATTAGAATGATGGAATTATTGCAGTTACATAATGTAGCTTTTCATTTGGAGAAGTTATTCTGTGTTTTAAAAGTAAGTTCACCTTGTGTCTGACATTCTCCTTATGAAAGGTAGCTTGGATACGACACAAACCTGTCCAAAGGCTTGCAGATCTGAATTTTTTTGTTTTCCATTGGTGTTCACTTTTATATTTTAGCAGGACAGATATCAGTTAAAATTCTATCTTCCTTTTTAACTAGTGTTAAAGCTGAGATATTTTAAATGAATTGCATTGCATTACAGCACTTACAATTGCAGTGTAAGGTATTTGTTGCCTGATGACTAAAGGATTAAAGGTTATAGGGTGCTCTGGCTTCTGTATTGCACACTTAAAACAATAATAGACTGTTGGAGCTCAGCTTCTAGAAATAGCCTTTAAAAGTGCAGAAGGCTTGGAACCTGTTCCTGCTTGAAGTGCGCGTTTTTAATGTGATGAAAGAAGAGCTAAAATAGGATAATAAAAACTCAGCAGTAATTTCATCTCTTGCTGTCCTGTAGTAGGCCTTCAAAGAGTTGTCTAGTCACTTAGGATGTGGAGTGTCTTGTCCACGTTGGCAAGCTTCTGCGGAAACATTAATCAAATATAAAGAAAGGGCTTTGGCACTTCTTCACTAAAATAAGCTCGTATTTGACCAGTAAATATATAGTTATTTCAGAAGATGATTATGGATGAACAGTGTGATTTACTGCATCTTAATATTTTCCTGAATGCTATACTGATTAGTGTCGTTAGCTGCTTGACTCTTGGCAAATTCAGTTTTGTTTTGAAAAAGGTTTTATGTTGTTACTATCACTTAGGGAGCTCCAAGCACAGGAGGATATCATGTGCATATACAGCATCTAATTTTATCGTAAAAGTGATTGAAGCTGCATTTTTTTTTAATCTCATAAATTGCCTTCTCCTTTTATGTGACTACATGCAAAACCCACTACCTTTTGTGGTCTTGGGCAATTGTGGTGAAGCCCTTGTAAACCTGTTCCTTGACTTTTTGTTGTGTGTCTTGCTTTCAGAGTTTACCCTTCCAAGAGCAGGGCAGAACAAAGCCTCTTGAGGTTTTACAAAATACTATTAAAAGGGCTTTGCATACTTATGTGCACATTTAAAAAACAAACAAACAAACAATGATCAAAGGCATCATCTTTGTCAAAAAAAAAAAAAGGAAAATAAAAACTAAGATCCTAAGTGTGACTCTGCCCTTAGTGCAGCTAAGTGTGGTGATGGGCAGTCTGGGGTGTGTGGAACTGATTTGAGGAAGCCGGTGATCAATACAGAAAATTAGCCTTGGGGTTGTTTCTTCTTCATTTGGGATTTCATTCAATGGTTTGTTTTAATATATCTGAGTTTACAATATATATTTTTTAAACTGCAACTGAAAATTTATTAGTAATTTCTGGAAGCCATTCCACATGGCTTTGTCAGTGTCAGTGATTTTCATGGCAGTTTGAGCTCAGTGTTCCACGTGAAACTTGAGGGGTGCAGAGATTATCAGCAGTGGGTCCTCGCAGGACCTGCTTTGATGGCTTGGCCTGTACCTGGAACCACTTCTGAAAATGGGAATGTCAGTAACACGTTTGTAGCCGAAGGTCCAATGTGAGAAACTGATTCAAGAGCCTGAAATAAAGCATTAACACATTGCAACTTTAAAAGTAGTGTAGCCTAATGAATAGCACTGTGTTTAAGTCTGCAGTGTCTGCTAAAATTTTAGCTTCAGCTAAGTGTTGCAGTTATAGGATTGTTTTGGTTTGGGGGATTTCTTTTTTTTTCCTTTTAAAGGTATCTTAAATTAAGGCCATTGTTCTGTTTAGTGTATTATGTGGGTATCAGTTTAAGCCAAATGTGATACTCTGTATTTATCTTAAAGGTGTAACTCTGAAGCTGGTAACTTAACTACTCTTACAAATTAATAGTGTTCACGTTCACTGTCATCAAGCAGCAGAAAACTGATTTTGACTTGTAGGGTGGATGAATTTGTGTTCTGAAGCGTTAGGGTTTTTTTTCTAATGATAATGTGATTGGACACTAATTATCCTTTGGAATGAAGGGCTTGAGCTCTACAGCTCCTAAACCATTAGTTCTTTGGCTGGGGATAGTTTATCATGCCTAGAGATTTTTTTGGCCTTTTTTTTCCCCATAATCCTTGAGAAGGGGCCATGCGCTTGGAAATCACACTGGTGAACAGAATGAGCAAGTTTTGGTTAGAGTGCATGGTAAACTGCAGATGAAATCTTTGTGCCGTGTAAGAAGTCCAATCCCAACTGAAAAGTCAGAACTTTTATTTACCAAGTTGCAACGTTAGGAATCTCTTTGCTTTGAATATATTGAGTGAACTTTCAGACTGAATTTGGATATAGTGCAAGAGCCGTAGGAATGCTTTCTCCTGATCAGCAGGTAGTTTTGTGTGACTGAGTGCGCTTCTCCTCATCAAAAATATCCTTGGGCATCACTCTATGCTGATAACTTACTGGCAGCAAGTTCTCCTTTCAGTTTTGCGCTAGAGCAGCAAGGGATGTCTCTTGGTCTGGGCAGGAGGCCTGAAATTCCAAAGCTCTCACCTTGGCTACTCGCTCCCTGCCTGCCTCCGGCAAAATTTCTTACCTTTTTTTTTTTTAGTTTTAGTTGCTGCACCTGTGAAATGGAGACAATGCCTCCTCACAGGAGTGTTTTGCAAATTATGTAGGTGGAGTTGAGCACCTTCAAAGTGAAAAATCTCTTTAAAAAAAAAAGAAAAAAAGGTCTTTTACACTATTTTGGTGTGTAGCTCCCTGAAATGGATGACGCAGCCTGGTTCCTTGCTGCCATCAAGAGGCACATGAAGAGATCCTGTTCCTGGCAGTGTGGTCTGGCCCCTAGTCCTGCCCTAGCCGGTGGTTCCGTTAGGTGGGTCAGCTGGGAGTACACGAGCGCCAGCTTCTCGCTCAGTGACGGGAGCTATCGAATGGCCTGTTCTGCTGCATGTGTTGAGGCGATTCATCTATCAACGAGTTGGATAGCAATGGGCTTTATTTAGGCCCCTCGATTACCCTTTTTTTGGTAGATGTGGCATTCTTCTATTAAGAAAAGAATGGTTTTGTCTTTATAAAAGACAAAAATTGATGTAAATAGAAAGGTGTCCCAACTCACAGGTGTCAGTGAATTTGCTGTGCCCTTCAGCTCTCTCTCCAGATATGCAATAAGAATACCCATTCTGTGTTTCTGTGGTTCCTTTGCTGTCACGATTTTGTGATGATTTAACTCAGTTTTGTTACAATGCGAAGTATCTAAAATGAAGGCAAGTTTAAACTTAAAAAAAAAAAAAAAAAGTGTTGGTTTGAGGTTCTAACTGCCCCAGAAGCTAGAGAAAGTCTAATTGCTTGGAAAAATTAAAAAAGGTACTGATTTGAAAATATTAACAGTATTGATGATTTTTTTTTTTTTTTTTTTGTCCAGTAAAACATTTCTAGTTATGGTATTGTCTGTTTTTACCAGAACAAGTTGAAATCATCACAGAAGGATAAAGTGCGTCAGTTCATGGTCTTCACACAATCTAGCGAAAAGACAGCGGTGAGTTGTCTGTCTCAAAATGACTGGAAGTTAGATGTTGCAACAGACAACTTTTTCCAAAATCCTGAACTTTATATACGAGAGAGTGTTAAAGGATCATTGGACAGAAAGAAGTTAGAACAACTATATAACAGATACAAAGGTGAGTACCCTGAATTTTAAGGCTTATTTCGTAGTTGTATGTATGTATTCTTAATTACAGTGTATCATTGCAGCTGGGCTCTTGGGCTTGGAAATAGTAACCAGCTCTTTCACCTTTGTTTTTCTGTTACTAATAAGTTAGAAGGGGACTATAGGTAGGCTTCTGCTTCGCAAGGTTTACATGTGGTTGCTTTATGTGCTCTGAAGGTGTACATTTATACAAGATTAGGGTCTGGAACTGCAGTTGTGTGTACAGTGAGTAACTGGAATGGTAAACATGGATTTTAGGTGATTCTTTTGGGGAAAGCACATCACTCGGGATTTGCTCCTGTACAAGTGGAAGGTTGCATACAAAGGATGGATTCTACCTTAATTTTTATTCACCTTGTGCTTGTTATCAGATAGTTACAAACAGAGTGCAAAAGACAGTCTCTCTTACCTGTTATATAGCCAGTGTTCAACTGATGATATCCTACCACAAACAGTAAAATGGACTCAGTACAGTAGAACAAATTTTGTGTTTTATCACTTTAAAAAAATTGTAAAAATGAGTGCTACATTTTCTGTCAGTTTTCATATGTGTGCATAATCCAAATACCATTTTCCTGAAGTCTTTGTTGGCTTGCGTTAGTAGATCTTTGTTAGTACACTTGAAATGTGAGCATCTCACTACCAGACCAGATGCTGATTCCTTCGTGGAAAGAGGAGTGTTCCTGGCTGACTTGGAATTGGTAACGGGGCAACGTAACTTTCCTCTTGGAGGTTACCGTGTCCAATCTCATGCATGCTGGTGATGCCAGAAAATGCATAAAGCTAATGTTGATTTAGTAGTTTATGGGCAGATTTGATAATTGTGTCAGTACATCTTGCAAACGGACACTGCAGAATTATTTATAATGGTACACAGATCGGCAATCTTACCAAAGATGCCAATAATGAAATGTGCTTGTGGGAAAAGACCGCTGTTCTCTGTATGGAATGAGTCAGAATATCATGCATATTATTAGGCCGAAAACAAATGTTTGTGGTGCTTTTGTCTCTTAATGAAAATAACTTTTTTTGTTGTATGGGAGGCTTTATTGTAGTAACTTCCTCAATTGTTAAAGCTTAACCATTGAAAATACTAATTTCATTTTGCTTTTAAAATATTCACTTATAAGGGCTGATCCCAAAAATGGCTTCTTGAAAATGTTTGGTTATCTTAAATACTCTGGTTGAATAAATCAGCTTTTTCAAAAGTCTCTTTTTCTTGATACGTACTTTTATATCCCAAAGATCCTCAAGATGAAAATAAAATTGGTATAGATGGTATACAGCAGTTTTGTGATGATCTAGCTCTTGACCCAGCCAGCATTACTGTACTCATCATTGCATGGAAATTCCGAGCTGCAACACAGTGTGAATTTTCAAAGCTGGAATTCATGGATGGAATGACTGAGCTAGGGTAAGTGTGCAGTAAGTATGGGACACTGACAGCGTAACCCAGTGTCAGAAACTGGAACGTGCAGTGAAACAGCCCTATTTTGGGGAATTCATAAGCACGTTGTCCTTTCAGACTGCAGAGACTTTTCGGAGCCTAGCATCACTTGTCTGCCTCTGTGGGAATGCATCTGCTGTCTATGTGCTAGGTGCTTAGTGACCAAAAAAAGGGAGGGAACTTGAGTGCTCCTTGCCTTGGTTGTGTGAGTATTCCAGTTAGTGGCCATAGAGCTTCTCCAGTAGGTAAAGCAAGGATGTTGGTCTGCAGTCTAGCATACCTGGGTTTTCTCTGCCTTATGACAGTGTAGTAGACTTTATCACATTTTTCTAAAAATCTTGGGGATTATGGAATCTGATATATCGGCTGGTATGTGCCAATGGCAATGTGAAGAAATAACGAAGGAGTGAAATTGTTGTATGTCTGTATAGGTACAGACTAAGTAAAGGTTTCCTGAAGTTTATTTTGAGAATTGTATTGGATTCCACAAAAATTTTATAAATTTTTGTTTAAGTTGTATCTTATGGTAAAATGAATAATACACAAATAAATGTGCTTTTCAAAATGCAGATGTGACAGCATAGAAAAACTGAAGGCCCAGATTCCTAAAATGGAACAAGAATTAAAAGAGCCAGGAAGATTTAAGGATTTTTATCAGTTTACTTTCAACTTTGCAAAGAATCCAGGACAGAAAGGTTTAGGTATGTATTCTTAATCACAGACATTTGTTTGTAAACATGGGAAATGACTGATTCAAGCAGTAAGCGGGAATATTATTGTGATCCAATGAATCTGAAAGATAGAAACCCTTGGGATAAAATACATCTCTCTGTTGTGAAAAATAGATGTCAATTTAAGGTCTTCAAATTGATAGAAATGTCTGCATCATTAGAATAGGCTACAAAATTTTATGGCAGAGGGTTTATTGTTTCACTAGGAGTGTGTGCAGTGCTCAGGAAGCACAGTGGATGTATGCCTACATTAAAGGCATAATTATACCACTTGGAATTTGTAGGACTGAACAGATTAATTGAATTTTCAATTTTAGGTTAAATTAAAGCTGTAAAACTGATTTCCATATAAGTACACCTGTACAGTCTCTTGTAACACCAAAAATGCTTGCAAATGTCTTTGAAAAACAGAATTGGAATAGTACAAATAGATTTCTCTGTCCTGGGCTGGATGCCTGTGTTGTGCTGTTGGTAGTAGTTGCCTACCTACAGCCTTTTTTTTTTTTTTTTCCCCCCCTCAGCTCATTGAATGGGGAATTGAATGGGGTTTTTTTTTTTTTCATTATTTCAGAACTCTTCTGCTGACTGTGCTTTTGATTAGTATAACAGGTGAAGTAGAAGAATCACTTATTAAAAGTAATTTTTTTGGAAAACAAGAGCCAACACCAAAAACATGACAAAACACCGCAGTTCAGATGGGACTAAATGAACAAACTGTAGATCTGGCTATTCAAAATGGAAAAAATGAGGGAACTAAAATTCCTTTAAATATTAACCAACCATAACGCATATTAATTTGTATACAGTGTAGTTAAGATATTAACCGTAACTTGTATCTCATAACTCTGTTAACTTCTTAAGCTAACTGTTCTACTTTTGAGAAGAAATAAAATACTGAAAGGCCAGTAGGTTCTTCCTTGGCAGCTTGTGAATTTATTTTTCTCAGTAGTGAAAATGCCTTAAACTGACTGCCATTCACCAGCTTTGCGCTGTGAAAAGATGAGCATTCTGCTTTGGGTTTGTTGTCTTTTATATATGGACCAACTTCTGGCTTAAAATGAATACTGAAAAATAAGTAAATAAGCAAAAGTTCCATGTGTTCATTTCTACTCTGTGTCATTCTTTAACATCTTTTTGTAACATCTATTTACCAGGAAAACTAAGTCTCTTGCCTAATTTCTCAATCATCTTAAAGCATCTTTATGCAGGTTAAGCTCTAAGAGTGACAAGGACAAGTATAGTTTTCTCAGATTCATATAGCCTATATGTAGTGTAAGATTTTTTTTTTTTTTGTTCCTTTTTTTAAAAAGCCTGGGTCTGGAGGTGATGTAGAACCCATCTTAAAATCTGGATGCTTTCCAGCCGTTGTGGTGCCAATAAATACACAGTTCTAGGCATGAATTTCCGATAGGGCAGAATAATTCTGGAAACCCTGAAGCAAAAGAATACTGGGAAAAGTACAGTGCTGAAAAGTAAGGGCTCCTAGCTACGCAGTTAATTTTGGAGCATCTAAATAAGTGCTTGTATAAGCTTGCAAATTGATTTTAATGTATATTGGTCTCTAATCTTCCAAACATTGTGTTGAGGCACAGTTCTGGAAACACATTTCCTCTGCATAATTCCTTACTACTGTGTAAGTGTGTGGATGTCTTGAAAGTTCTCGTAATACGTGTGTATCGTTTGAGAATACCTTTCAGCTGATGTTCATCGCAAACGTCGTTTGCTTCCCTTGCATCTCTCTGGATAAAACTCAAAAGTTTGAGACTTTCATATTTGATCCAAGAGGAGTTTTCTTGAGCATTTTTTCACTCTCTTATGAAATCTAAAGTTACATCTTTACGTTTGAATTTTGAGATTTCGTAAAATTTCTTTTAAAACATGTAGTTTGTCCTGAGGCATTATGTCTTTATGCTTTACCTATTTGGACTCATTATTTGAGTTTGAGGTTGCAGCATCCTGAGATCTATTTTTTAAAGGCCTTTGCTTACCCACAAGAATAATCTCAAAATTGTACAAGCAGGTCCAAATGCACAGTTTGTTTATAGTGAACCACTATGAATATGCAGTGATTTGATGACATTTTTTTGTATGCCTGCTATTAATGCCTCACAAGTAAATAACACTTAGTTTTCTAGTCTGTTTCCTTGAGGAACCGATCAGTTTAAAGTGAAGCTTGTATCCATTCATTTTTGGAAAGACAGTAGTTTTAGTTGAAAGCTGAAGTGCCTGTTTTTGTGGCTGAATTTTATATTAAAGAGATACTTAGCCTGTACACTCTGTAGTAAGTTGTCATTTTCAGAGAGAGCTTATTTACTGAGGCGTAGTGACTTCTGCTTTATTTGTCTCTGCTTCTTGAAACTCAAACTTACAAGTTTTTCTGAAATCACAGACCTTTGCAGCTGCTGGAAAATCCTCCCCAAAATTGATTCTTTACTTTGGTCAGGAAGCATTATAATGTGAACATGCTGCTTGAGAAGAGCTTTCAATAGCAAAGATCCTAAACAATTCATAAGCTCTCCCATTACCATCTATTTTCCCTTCAGCAATGCAGAGTTCATGCTTTGTTTTGTTTGCTCTTGATTTCCCTTCTAAGATCCACCTCCTTGGTTTTTTTAAATAGTTTGGGCATTTGGGGAAAGGGAGTGGTTTTCTTGGGTTGTGTCAGGTTTCTTCTTTTTCTTTTTTCCTGAGGTGCAGTTGATCATGTGCCTCTTCTCTCTGCTCTCACAAGAGGATTGTTTATGGAAGAAGAGATCTGTTAGACTGGAAAATATATAAGAGCTTTTGTTAAAAAAGAGATCACGTAACTAGGTGGCCTTTTGGGGTTGCTGTATGTACGTGGTGATAGATGCTGAATTCAGTGAGATCCCAGTTAGTAGCATTTTGTTGTCCAGTACAGAGGTCCTCGTTAATTCCTGCTACCGGAGATCATGCTAGGTAGAGATTTAAAGCTCAGATACGTAACTTTATTTTATCAGCTAACATGTTACTGTATGCCACTCAGAAACAGTACTTGTGTGTCAGTTTAGCCTTTGGCAAACACCAGGGAGGCCAGTGTTTTGGTGTTTTTTTTTTCCTTACTAATCAGTCTCTTTTCTGAGTGCTGCGCTCTTGCAACGCCCGCTGCTGACAGCAGCCCACAGTTGTCTGACAGGCAGTAGGTTCTTGTTCCTGCACTGTGTCAGTTCAGGTTTCTCACTCATCCTGAGAAACATTCAAAGCAAGCAAGAGCTAAACAGGTTTATTTGGGAGGTAAAAATGCCAAACCAACAACAACAAAAAAAACCAACCCAAACCCAACCCAACCAAAAAAACCCAACAACAATCAATCAACCATCGGCTTGTAAGACTTTTTCAAACGAAACCTGATTGCAGCTGTAAAGACAGCATCTGTAACAAGGCTGATCCAAAATTGAAATAATAAAAAGCTAGTTTTATATTAATTGTATTTTATATATTAAAAAGAATTAACGATCTTACTACAAATTTTCAAGTCGATAGCCTTTCTAAGACAAAAATATTTCACTGAATTTTAACTAAAGTATTGTTAGATAGCAAAAGGCATATGAAATATCCTTACAGGTTTTGGATATGTTAGATAGTAACATGGGAAGTTTTCAGTTCTTCTATATTCAAGTGATTGATAGTATCAAAATCTAGAAAATATCTTTATTTATGATTGCCTTTTTGTAAAGGAGCCACAAGTATATTTGCCTTAGATTACTCTTTTCACCTTTATGAATGTGTGGTTCATCTTAGTGTTAGATACCTGTGGAGATGATATATTTGAAATGTATATCTCTAAGAGTAATATATTTTAATATTACAGATTTAGAAATGGCCATCGCCTACTGGAATTTAGTACTTAATGGAAGATTTAAATTTCTAGACTTGTGGAACAAATTTTTGTTGGTAAGTTTAAATCTTTACATAAACTGGACTGTTGTGATTTCAAAACTTGGAAGATAAGTATGTTTAACTTATTGAGTAGATGAAATAGACTATTTTGACCCAGACCCCAGGTACTGCACTTCTTAGTGTGTGCAAAATAAATATGTTTGGGGATATGTTTGGGGATATGGATGTGTCCAAGACCGTAAAAATTAATGTGTATAAGGGTTTCTAATTTATTTTTTTTAAATATAAATTTTCTCCCCCTCCAAACAGGAACATCATAAAAGATCAATTCCTAAGGATACTTGGAACCTTCTTCTAGACTTTAGTACAATGATAGCAGATGATATGTCTAACTATGATGAGGAAGGTAAACATTTCAATTTTCTTTCATTAACTTCCAACTGTGTTTTATGCTGTATTTATTACAGGATCTGCTTTGGCACAGCTGTCTAATAACAGTCTAATTAGAATATCACTGGTGATCTAAGCTCCAGTTAGAACTACTTTAATGCATGTTGTTATCATCGGTTTGGTACTATGGGTTTAAAAAAAGAATGCTCAAACTTTCCTAAATCCATTTTCTTTTTTTCTTGTGGCTGAGCTCAGATTACTAATTCTTTCTTACAGAGACAAACTGCTATTTGTCCCTTTGAAAAACACAGTTTCTCTATCAGCACAGTTCTTGGCATCTTCAGCTAAGTAACTGATCCATGGCTTGTGCGTGCCTGCGTAGGGTCCTCTGGTTGTTGCATTTCTTCGCTGAGAATAGCTTTAAAGTTTGGTTGCTTCGGTTTATGTGAAGATTGGATTTATAATAATATGAAAGTGAAACTGCCAGCATACAGGGATTGCTAAACAGAAGTTATTTCCTACTAAATATGTTTCTTGTAAACTTTTGTATTGATCTTTCCTCTTCCAGTCCGTCTGTAGCCAAAACCAGCTAATTACTTTCAATTGTTGGCAGCAGATCAGTGAGTGGAGGAAACTGTAAGCTTCTGATACTTCCAGAGCAGAGGAGAGCAAACTTCTGGAACTTGTATTTAATAATTATGGACAATTCTCATTCCCTTATCATCAGGCAAATAGGCTGCCACCCACAATCAATTGAGGTAGCTTAGAAAGATTAGAGGCAGAAAACATGGTTTTATGATTTGGAATAAAAATATTTTAAGGGGGGGGAAAAAACCCAAAAGTACTGCACAATTATTTTTAACCTTCACATGACTGGGGCACTCTTTGGATTTGGCTGCCCAAAATACGTAAAATATTGTTATGCCTTTTAAATACCTCTTGATAGGGAATACAGAAGAGTGTATATATAGTGTAATACCAGCTGGCTAGGGTATCTATTATACTGTATCGCTGGCTGTCGGAGTGCATTTTGCTGTTTTCAGGTATGGCTGAGTATGCTGATTCTAACAGATGATCATTGCATTCATGCAGAATCCTGGTGTGAGCAGTAAATTCTGTAGGACCTTACGATATGCTGCTGCTTACAGCATAGACTGCTTCACCCAACGTTCAGCATGTTTTAAGCAGCTACTGCCATCCTGGAGGTCATGTTTGAGATCTGGTGCCAAAACCAGGACAGTTTAAAACTAGAATTTTCTTTTTTTTTTTGGTCAGGAAGATGAAGGAAATATGACCCTCAGAAGAGACGTGTATTAACTGGTTTAAAGGAAGTAGAAATCTTTAACCAGCTCTTAAACTTGTAGCAAGAAAATCAAAGTACAATTTTTCCATTTTTTGCTTGAAACTATTCCCAGTTAAGACTGGAAAGTAAATAACTTGTTTAGATCTGAAGCTGTAAAAAGAACGCCTTGTTGAACTGAGTTCTTATGTTCTGGTCTTTTTTTCTTTTAGGGGCATGGCCAGTTCTTATTGATGACTTTGTGGAATTTGCACGCCCTCAAATTGCTGGGACAAAAAGTACGACAGTGTAGCACTAAAGGACCCTTCTAGAGTGTACATAGTCTGTACAAATACCTGAAATGGAAAATTGCACAGTCAATTTCTGCTGGCTGGACTGAACTGAAGATCAATCCTCACACTATGGCTGAGGGTTGAGACAAACCTTTAAGGATACATCTTGGACCATATCATGTTTCATTCTTCTACTGGTGGTTTGGGCTTTTCTTCTAGTCTGGACCACTCTTGCCCATTAAAATTCCAACATTGTGGATTTCATAATGGAATTTTTTTTTTTTTTTTTTGTGGACCACCCTAGTTTCATCTCCCATAAGTCCTAGAAGCTTTATAATTATTTTGAGTTTCTGGTTTCACATAAAGCACAATGCTGGTCATCATCAGACAACTGTTGTATGGCATCTGAATTATACAGATCAACATCGAAACAATTTTAAAAAGAATCCTTAAATATACGCTTGGGGCTAGTTGCAAAGACTGTCTTGATAGCACTTCCTGGAAGAGTGATATATTTAAGTGTACTGGGTCCGATATATTTTTTTTTTTATTTTCTGGAAAAGTACAGGTATTGTCTAAGTGAGTTTGAGTATCTGGTAAAAAAAATTACAGAAATAACCAAGAAAACCCAAGGTTGTTGATACTGGGATATCTAGGTGCCTATCTGAATGGTTTGAGTGTGCATCGACTGCCTGTGAGAACAGTTGAAGTATGACACAACTACTGTGCACTTAACGCACCCGTGTTTAATGTTAGTCAGCCTTCAGCGAGAGTCATTGAGACAAGCTGTGTGCGTCACGATAGAATCTAATATTCTCTAGGTTACAATCTAGGAAATCGGATTTCATTACAGTTTTGAAATGCTTATCTGTCTGTCACAGAAAGGTTTTTCATTTCTGTGGAAATCTAAAACTTGAATATACTGAATTTGTGTCTTAATGTTTGCTACACAGTACAGTATTTTAAATCAAGAGATGGAATTTTTATGGTTGAGGTGTGATGAAACCAATGGCCCTGTTGTACAAAAAGCTGGTGAGTTTGTGAATCTAGGTTTTGAAACCATTAGCCTGAGACGTAAGTTTAATCTTTATAACGTAGAGGTACTGCCATTATGGATGACACCCATCTTTTAATTATTTTGTTGAGTTTTCCTTAAATTGACATATCACTGTGGTTGCCAAATAAAAGTAAAGCTTTCCCAGACAAGCACAGATCAGATATAAAATACTACACTGGCTTTGTTTGCTTTAATTATTTTGTTGATCATCACTACTTTTCTTGTCTTCTGCATTAACTAAATCAAGTTCATTTTGTTCCAAACAGATTTTATCAGATGCAATTATTCTTTATTTGTAAAATTACAAGAGCTCCTGAGCTGGTTTTGTGCTAAACATGGTCTTCTACTCCTCACTTAGTTACTTGTGAAGAGATTTGATAAATCCTACACGGTAAAACAAGCTGGAAAATACCAAGCTCCAGGAGAAAAGAAAGACTGTAGGTAAAAATTAAAGCTAGAGGTTTAAGTCCATGCTCTGAATAGTCCCATGATAATGCCAGAATTATTTTTGAAATGAGGAATTGGTACTTGCACTAAGCAGGGGAACACTTTTATGCAGATGCTAGAAGTAATTTTAGGGAAAAAAAAAAGACTATTAAACAGCTAAAAACTTCTATTTGTACTCTGTGAAGCTGACCATAAGGCTCACTCCCTGTACAGCGGTGTCCTTTTCAGAAAATCCAGTTGTGCATTTATTTCAATACGGTTCCACAAAAACATTGCAGATGTTTTCCAGCTACTGCAATTGGCTATGCCAAAAAAAGAAAAAAAAAAAAAGGGTATTTTGCTGCTTTCAGTATTTCCTTTCTCAGTTTTGTGTACATATGAATGGGAACTTGAAATTATGGGGGCGGGCGTGGAAAAAAGCTCTACAAGGTATCTCTGCGTGCTGTTTTCTGTCTTGAGGGGTTTGGTACAGTTTGGGATTGATTAGCTCAAGTATGCTGTGTTTGGAGAGGGGAACTGACTTGCTTTTTACCCCAATACAGACTTGGCCCTCAAAAAAGTCTGAGATTGGGTAGAGGCGTAATACCGTGGTGTTTTAAAGACTATTCCTTTTGAATGCAAGATCTTGTCAACAAAATAGTGTTGTCATCAGTTTGGTACTACATGCTTAATAATTACTGTGTAATTATAAAGAAATACATAACTTTGACTAATTATGTTGCAGAAAAGGGTTATTTGTGCTATGATGGCATCTTAAAATCAAAACGAGTGACTGAAGTTGAAAGAAACACTGATTTAACAGGGTGTTGTTCTAAGGACAAAATGCCTGCTTACAGGGAATATTTTGTATTGAACCGTGCTCAGATGTGGCCATGTGGTTTTTTCCTTTATATATTTGTGTGGTTTTTCTTTTTTTTTTTTTTTTTTTTTTTTTTTTTGAGAATGCAGACAGTTGCTGCCTTGGATTGCTTTAATTCATAAGTGCTTATGTCTTCAATTTGATGATCTCCCCTAAACGGACCAATTTCATTTTGCCAACGGTCAAGGAAAAAAAAAAAAGCGAACAGCAAGTTGGTAACCTGTTTTTATACATGAAATATGTACAAAATTAGAAGTGCCCTGATATAAAACACTTAATCTTGAGATTATATTTAATAAAAAAAAAAACAAAAACAAAAACCCCACATCATTTACATATCTCTGTAAATTCAAATGTAACTTCTTACAATCCCTCTCATTACCAACAGAGGCAATAAAGCTCCAGTGAAATTGCCATGACCAAGTCTTCTCATGCATTTCCTTTCAGTGTGTTATTGGTAAGACTTATTTCTAGAATGTGCTTTTAAGTGGGAGGGGAAAAAAAAGGATGGAATACTGGTCTTTTGCATGAAAGACACTGTAGGGGTAAGTCTTTTTTTTTTTGGGGTGGGGGGGAGTGGAGGGGAAGTGATACCCCAGAACTCCTGAAACACCTTGCCTCCTGCTTATTCTAAATGTTTAGCAGTACAAAAGGGAGCTGATCTTTTCCAGCTGTGCTGCACTGATGTTACCCAGCGTGTGAAGAAGACACCATCCCACTGCATTTGTAAAACAAGGTCGGTGTGAAGACTACCGTACAAAGTGAGTGAAGTGACTTTATTGATCAACCTGTTAATAGGTAACTTCTGACTTGCTTCAAAACTATTTTACAATGAAATCCATACTGAGAAATCCTTATTTAAGAACGATTTATTTTTATAAGAATGCATTTCATAAAGTTTTGTCATTCATACTTTTATTTAAATAACGTTGCTAGAGGTCTCTGTAGATTTTATGTGACTATGGTACACTGAATATGGTTTTTAAACCCATGGTGCCCTTCAGTCCTCTGAGCTCTCGAAGAGCAGACCACAGCAGTAAATCCTTGAGGAAATTATAATCTTACCTCTCAACAAGGGGCCTGAGCTTTGCCATACTTACCTGACTGTTTTAGTGCCAACACATAGCAGTAGCTGCATGAGAGAACACTGAGTTTTGATCCCTGTACCTCAAACCCCAATCTGGACATTTGAACAAAAATCAGCTCCCTGCTTCCTGCAGTTCTTCTAGAGGAGCTTGTCTTCAAGTTCTCAATTTAAGAAAAGCTGCCTCACTGTAAGCTGAATGTTTTATCATGAAATAATAATTGTTTGCCTTCTGAACTGTGTCTTCAGAGTGTAAATTTCAAGCCCTCCTCCCTTGAGAGTTTCAAAGGACAACTCCTAACCTGTAAAGCACACTAGAACAGGAAGCCGCTGAAGAAACGGGAATGAAGCCCATGCTGGAGTTTATCACTAGGCGAACCTCACCACTGCCCTGGGGCTGGACAGACCCCCCCACTCCACCCCTGGGCTCTGTGTGTCTGTGCCCTTTTTTTTTTTTTTTTTTTTTTTTCTTCCCTTTACTGGCAGATTTCTCCCCAGCCCAGGGAGGCAGCAAGGTGAGGGCATGGGTGCTCCCTCTGCTCGTGTCAGTGCTCTGGTGTGTCTGTGGGAGCTGCAGAGGCGGCTGTGCACGGAGGGATAGAGCTGCTGTCCCTCTGTGCCCACACTCACTGTTCTCTGGCCTATTTGCCTCTAACTCATAATTAAAACAATGACACAGCTAGCTGTGAAAGTTATATTTATTAAATAAAATTGTCATAAACCTTTTTCAAAACAACTTCTACTGACCAAGCTGTACAATGAGCAAGGACACGGACTGGCAGAGAACTAAAAAAAAACCAAAACAAAAAACAAAACCAAAAAACCATGAGGCAGCCACAGTGTCAGAGGTCCAGCATTCTTTGTACTAATTATTGCTACAGGTTCCAGTTGTCCATGCCCCTTTATTTACCTAAAATTAAGGATCAACCTCTTTAAAAAAGTACTTATTGCAGAGATTATATCATTGAAGTTTTTTTTTTTTCCCTAAAAAAAAAAAGAAAACAAAAACAAAGAGAGGACTTTGCTCACACTTCAGTGAAAAAAGAGAAGTTTGGGTGATGTGTTAGTGTTGTGTGCACAGGACCTGAAATCTCTCAGGGGACCGTAACTCAGCCTTATAAAAAATACTCTTTGCTGCAGTAACCATTACCTTATGTATACCTGAAAGTAATTTTTAACCATTTTCCCCTTTCTATACAGCCCCTGGCTTATCTTTTATCCTATTGCCAACATGTAAAAAGGCCAAGAAAGCTCCTGATGTATGGAAGAATTTCCTTTAAAACTGCTGAGGAAAAGCTACTGAACAGCACAGGGCAGTTAGGTGCACTTCAGGGTTTCCTTCAGCCAAGTCCCACTGTGTGTCACAAACAGCACTCTGTATTTATTTCCTTTCTTTCCACTCCTTGTTACAGGTCTAGAGGTCTTTAGGCCGTGGCCCCTTGGGTTTTATTCATGTCTATGCATTTATACAACCTGGGAACGACGACAGCGTGGTATCTAAAGAGAAGACACTGTATGCACATATTGTAAAACAACAGCACAGCGTGGCAACAGCTAGGGCAAGGCGGATACTTCAACGTGATGAGAACACTCCCTTTAACGAAAGCCACAGAAGCTCGGGCAGCTCACAACGTCTCGCTATTGAGTTATGTCTGATGCCTCTACGAGCTGTATTTACCTGAAGAGGAAAAAAAAAAAATCTATGGAAAGCAAAAAGCGTTGCAAATACCGATGCAAATGTGCTTGTATGACAATTGACAGCAAGAGCTGATACATCCGTGAGCATCCCATCGTTCCTCCACCTGTTTATAAACTGAGTCATTCCACCCTGAGAGCAGAACCCAGACCAACCATGCCTCTGGAAGCAAACATACAAAAAAACCAACAATAAAAACATTCACAGAAAAAAAACACAGAGCTACAAAGAGTCTAACTGAGAAATAATTTATGAACAGCAAAAAAGGCTCAAATTAGTGGATA